GCTCAAATTACATCAAACACTCGCCTGCAGAGACACTCCTAATTAATAAGAGGGGTGGTAAAGCAGCCTCTCCCCTTACCCTCATTGTGCTTACTCGCTAGGAATCGATTTGTGTCTCTCCTGCTGCCTCAGTGTCTGACAGATGTCTCTTTGCAGTACAGTGCTCATGCTACAAGCAGTCATAGTGTCTGCAGCTAAACCCCACTACGACAGATAAGAAACAAAGAGCTGCCTATCGAGGCTGATGCATGAAAAACACTCTTAGTTGTTCCCCACCGCAGGTTTTGTTTACAGGAAACATAAATAGAAGGTTTAGTTTTGGATTGAGTATAAAGTTGTAATTAGCAACAAACGGTAGAGGCAAGCACTTTTGTATTGGCTTTTGAAATATCTCATTTATTACTGCATGGTATGACCTGATATTTTGAAAGTATGTTCCAGTTGTTTACCATGAATCACTCTGATTTATTATTTAATTTAAAGGCAACACCAATTCAAAGTTTGAATTTTTCTTGTGAAATATCTTAACAATTCCAAGACAAACAATCGTGATATCTTAAGTGAAACCATGACTTTTCCTCTAGAATCACCAGTATTTGACAGCTATGTTTTGATGGATATCCATTACAGTTTGTTCCAATGTTCAAATTACCATCATGATGCATTGAAAAACTAGGTTATCCTCTGCTTACTCTGGTACTTCTGTAATTTAGTCAAAAATATTAAACCAATACTTTAAAACATGGTACTTAAGGAAAGCCTGCATAAAAACACAACAACTTAAGCTTAAGTAAGATTTATACATAACATTATACCTCCATTACAAAACAGAAGCATTCAAATTTGTATTGTGAGCATGTTAGCATGCTAATGCAGCCTCACAGAGACGGCCGTATGGTTTTAGTTGATTCTGTGATGTTCTTAATGTGTCGGGATTAATAAGCCCACCATGGCTAAAATAGGTATGTTATATTCACAGCTGAGCCAGGCAAGGTTTTTATGTGATTAAACCAGGTGTGTAATTATCTCATCATAAAGTAGGGCTGCAGCACAGAATTGTCTCATCACATCTACCTCAGACCCTTCGGCCTTACCTTATTTACCACAATGCAGTTCTAGATATGAAAGCTAAAATACAAGAGCTATCTGGAGGTTTGAAGATATCTTATTAGACTGAGATGTAGAAATGGTGTACATTACGCCTTGTCTTTATGAGCATTCCAGTTATTTGTTGTCATTTCTAACTATGTTCTTGGTTATGATGCTTAGCATGGACTGTAATAGGCAGGAATACAAACCAGCACTGTGAACTTTCAATAGGTTTGACATTGAAGTAGCAGTTCTCAAGTGTTTGTATTTTATTTAATTGGAGAAGAAGCTGAATGTTTGAGGTCGCTGAACCGTTTGACAGATTTGTAAGTCAATTAAAACAGGGAAGAGGATGAATGAAAGATCATGGATACGCGTTCTCTGTCTTGGAGTTTTATTTAGGCACGAGCAGTCAGTGCACCTCCAGAATTTGGTGAATCAATACTTTTCTGTTTTCACTGTGTGCTCTTATTATTTGTCTTGGTTTACCCAAAACACAGATCCACAGACTGAGACTCAGACAGGTAGCTCAACAATCTGAAGTAAATTCCAACCTGCTACAACCGGTTAACATAAAAAACACATTTCTAAAGTAATAACAGCTCACATTTCTGCTTCTCATCACATACAATTCTTTCTCACACAACAGTAATTCTGCTTAATGAGGATAATCTCTAAATCAAGCTGGTATTGTCAGCATTGGGCTTATCCCTTTTTATTTCCTTATCATGCTGATCTATCGTCAGCATGTTCTGGTGATAAAAATCAAACACAGAAAGGAAAAGGGATTATGGGTAATTGTGGAGAAAGAAATCAAATCAAATTATACACGGGTGTTTAAGAACCTAGCATTGCAATTGCAATATCACTTTCCTTTTAGAGGCAGGCATGCTTTACATAAAACAGCAGGCGGGAAGGCATCACACAGCCCTCTAATTTCTATATAGTTTCAAAGATCTGAACAAAGACCAAAACAGCATGTTTTTTATGACTTTGTTTTTTCAGCACATCTCACTCTTCCTGTAATTTCATTAACATTTTAATATTTCCACAACAAAAAACAAGTTATTCCAAGGTGTTTTCATCCTTGCCTGCTGACCTTGTGTTTGTCTTGATATGTTATTAGCACTTTGTGTCTTACCTCACCTTCATGGATTTCTTACCAGGGTTTGTGGTTGCATTTGTCCTTGGTCCTAGTAGTTGTATTAAATATTGAATTTCTGCCTCTTCTGCTCTCTGTTTTTATGTTTTGCACACTGACTAAGATAAAAAAAAAAAAAAACTAACAACGTTCATTAAGACTGGATCTCCACCACTGTGTTGTGTCCTCATTGTAGACGATTTATCAACTCTGTACCTGCAGCGAGATGCAGTAAGTTTGTCCTAATTTTGCCTGTCTTTCTAGCAACAGATAAAACTAAATAAATTACACTTTCCACCCATGGGGGAACAAGGTATGTACTGACTGGCAAAGCATTTGGTGACAGCTCTGTAATACTGATACAGATTTGCAGTATTTGCCAATCTGATCAGAAATATGAAGATCACTATGGACCCCAGACATTACAAATCCGCTCCCTGCAAATGATTCATCTGCTATTTAGCATATGATATCATCAAGCATCTTCTAGTGACTTCAACCAATCCTTGAATTAAAAGACAGTTGGCAAAGACTCCTCTCCTGCTTTGGGGCATTTCTTTATGTAGTCTTGATCGGTGTGTATGCATCCAATCTGTGCATTATGTTTAGAGGATTTACAATTTGGCAAAATGAATGAATGAACTCCAAACATGAAGTTCTCTGTTGCATCATGCGGCTTGGTCTAGCGTTTTTAAAATCTCTGCCTCCCCTGCAGTCTTTACCTGTAGGCTGTGAGAGTTCAGTAAGATTTACTACACAACCTTACTGGAAATGAAGCCCGCCCTCATACAGATGGAGGCAACATCATATGCTTTATATGGAAGAATGTGGTTCACATTTTTAGTCTTTCCTGCAGGGCTCTCTATGACAATATGTCAATCCTATTTAGCACCCAAGGACTTGTTAATTTCTACCTCTCAGCTAAATTGGCATCCAAGATCTTGTGTAAATGCCAATGACCAAACGTTCATTCATGACTAATAGTCTCATAGGATTAGTGGTATGACACCGATAAGTGTCAGTAAGTGTTATACATCCAATATGGTTACAATGACGCTGGAGGATGATTCAGAGAACAGTGGGATGCGTGTTCATCTGTGACCTTTATTCACTCCTGCAGGCTGAAGAGGTGTTTTGGTTTAAACCTCCAACTTTCTATTTAAATTGTGCCCTCAGATAAACACAAAATGACTCAATTCTGAGTTCAAGAGAAACACATGCATTTATTATATTTTTTTGAAGGTAAGACCCTTGGTGTTGTCCAAGAGCTGTGTTTTGCTTCGGTAAGATTACAGAGCTTGTTCTCTTTTCTTTTGAATAGATAAAATGGATAAATAGTTGCAGAAAGTTTGCTCTGTGCTTTCATCTGTTTTATATGGATTTGGGTTAAGGTGAGCATCTCCTCAGTAACAGAGAACAATAAAACAATAAAAAATGTATGTATCCTTAGCTGATAATTTGTCAAATTACACAAAATAAAACCAGAAGAAAGTAACCTACACAGAAGAGCAACTTAAAAATAATTTCGAAGCAATACATGCTAAAAAAAAAAAAAAAAAACTGCAGGAGGTCTTGGTCAGGTGGGGGATCCTCAGTATTTGTGCGAGGGTCAGGCAGCAGGGGCTCAGCAGAGGTCAGAGCTGACAGTGGGTCATAAATATGGCAGACAGGCTGAGCTGGCTTGTGACAGGGAAAGGGCGGTTCTGCTGTAATGGGTGGTAAATGTCAGAGCCTCCCTACAGCCTGAGATGAGCGATTGTTAACGTAGCTTCCCTGAGCCTGAGCTGCCAAAGCCTGGAGACAGTCTGACGAGCAGTAAAGGAAACATTTACACGAACAGAACGGCTTGTTTGGATGACCCCCCCTTCCCCCCCCCCCCCCCTCAGCACACTCCCCTCCTGTCGCCATAGGCAAAATGAGACAGGTGATTAATCAGGTTGTTAGCATGTTTGATGGAGAGGAGAGAGGAGAGGAGAGGATGGAATACGTGTGCTGGGAGGAAAGTGAGAAAGGTAGTGAAATGAAGACAAGAGCTCCATCGTTGTGATTCATCAGGGGTTACCGGCCCTCGTGGGAGCAATAATTTTTAAAGTAACAGGCCATGATTGCAATAATGTCCCCATGGCAACTATTATCTTTAATGACTATTATTATGGCAATCATAAAAGGGAGACTGGAGCAAGTCTTATTAAAATTATTATACAACTATACTTTGGAATGACTCGTCTGATCCAAATCAAGTTCTGCAACTTTAAATGTAAGCTGGACATAGAAGCAGTGGATGAAATTCAGTCTTGAAACTCTAACATTTGGAGTGTGTCATCATAAATTTATTGTTGATACTTTTCTGTTGGTGTTGTTTATTTTCCTTAAAGTTTAAGATACATTTACTTCATTTATTTTCAGGTATCATGAACAAAATCCTTGAACACAGAGAATCGAGATGATTTGTACCTGAGATAGCAACCATCTTTTCGCAGCCTCCAGACAGATACACACTAACACTATACTACTGATCCAATCAATAGAAAAATCAGGTTGAATAGAATACATACTAAATGCATACATCTGACAAATACATACATTTAAATCCTTACACTCCCTCCTATATACTAAAAATGCTCTTTCCCACTTAGATGTTATATAATTGATATTTTACCCCCTTAGGAAATAATATGGAAGCTTGGGAAATGAGTACTGGGTTCAAATGTATTTGTGCAGTTAATTGGTTAATTGATTGATAAAATTACAAAAATATTTTGAGACTTACTTTTGGAGACTCTGGAGACTTTCCTTCTGTTCTCGCCAGCGCCTGAACCATCACAACCATCCTCATCGTCGCAGTCGCCGCTGTAACGCCCCTCTGCGTCTCCACTTCCTGTTTCAATCTGGTCTAGAGACCCCAGTTTAGGAATTGACTTCCCCTGCAACAACTGGGAAAATGAAATCAACATTTGTAACTACTTTCCATAGTTTTTTTACAGAAGCAATTTGGTTTAAAGTTAGTGTTGACTTTGTGTCTATATGCTCACTCTGTAAGCAAGCCTGTATTTCCAGCTGCATGAAGCACTGTATCTACAATATATGTATATCATATTCACATTCAAAATTCACAGCAGGATACAGGGAACAAGGTCCTCTGCTTGCAAGGACAGCACAAAATATACTCTCAAAAACTGAATAAAAAAGCAAGGTGAAAATGCAAAAAAAAAAAAAAAAGTCTTATTCTCGAATCCGCGGAGGGGCTGAAATGCAATGACATTTTTAATATCATTTTCTGCACAATGTTTGGCTATATCCTAAATATTCATACAGCTTATTAGAATTTTAATGACAAACGTTATGAATACTTTTTGTTGTTTGTTTGTAAAAAAAACGACTAAAAAATGGCTTAAAAGTATTCTTGTATTCTGGCTGTTGACTTAATGTTGAAACTGACAAATAGAATTAACATTTGTACCTTTTAACAGTGGCTACAAACTACAAATTAGATGCATCTGTAGTATGATTTAGAAGACCCTTCTGGGCTGCAGGGGCCTGCAGCTAAACTTTCTGCCGTATTGCTGTGCCGCACAATCTCAATCAAAGACTTTGCGAACTGGGTACCGGGGGAAATGCATAAGCTAATTGGCTCATTTAGATTCATGATGCGTTACTGAAACAAGAGGGGCTTCTGTGAGTTGATCAGAAAGGTAGTGTCTATGCTAATTAGTTACTGTTGTGGTTCAGTGCAGGGGAGCAGAATGTGTCAGGGTTTCTGCGGTGGCTGAGCTGGGACATGTATCTGTGCTGGTAATGAGCCTGTCTGGGGTCTCTGCCCTTCAACGCTGACAGGTTAGGAGATGGAGAATGAAGAGTTTAGGCAATATCAGCCATATGCCTAATTTTGGCATGATTTCTTCTTTCCGTTCGTATTGGATATCAAACAAAAACTTGTGATCTATTATATGGAATAATTTGTCTGCGGTGCCAGGGATGAGTCTGGTCGGAGAGTTTAACCGATTGTGAACGTTGTGTTTCACAGTGCTCCAGGGCTCAGTATGTTCACAGCTCCAAGGCTGTCGACTCTGAACCTCATTGACAGAGGAAATGGCATCTTGCCAATTAGTCTGTGCATGTGATACAATACATAGGGCTAAGATTCACGTATCTGCAGTGTGCAAGTAGAACGATTAAATAAGCTTCTGCATACAGGTATGTGTAGGTGAGGGTGAGAAAAAGGTGTTTTTCTTTCACTCTTTTTCAAATATAGAAACTTGATTGAGCTACTTTAGGTCAAGTCTCAAGTTATTCCCTAGACACTCTAAGCATGAGTGTATTCCCAGGAGAGTTGACTCTAACACAGCTCTAAGAATCTGAAACATTGTCTATCTTACATATGTATCAAATGTATAGTTTCTGTTCCCAGTTCCCTTTTGTAATGGTTGCATGTACACATGTTGGAGGAACACAATCTAAGCATAGGGCTTATGATATTCTTTATTCTTGCGATTGCCAACATATTGATGCCAAGCATTGTCTGTGCCTGCTAGTGCTTGTTTCTCTGTGCCATAGGGCTGCATTGTTGTCCAAGAACACATCAGTGAACACTTTAGCACTGGGTGAAATGTTACTTCATTAAGATTAACATGGGCACTGGATATTATTTTGAGTTGATCCCACAAACACCCTCCTGCTTCCATAAGTCCTCACTAGTGCGACAAATCCGCAGCTAAAAATAGTGTAGAACAAAAAGGACTGTTTTTACTCCTTTAATAAACTCAAGTAACCTTTCCTTTGAGACATTAATAAGCTTCTTCTTTTATTATACTACCTACTTATGACCTGTTTTAAAGGATTTTCATCTACAATAGGAACAAGAATTGGAGGTCTGAGTCAAACAAGGAAAGTCTGAGAGGATTAAAAGATCAACTCACACAATATTGGGTTTGGTCTTGGCTATATAATACTAATTGTTGGATTATATATGGCTAATATTTAGCAGCAAAACAAGTCTCTGAAAAACACAAAAAAGAGTAAAAGAGCAATAATGTAATTCATGTTCACTTTTTTTTTTGTTGGTTTGGTATCTGGATGTTGACTTGATTTGCATCAAACAGCAGTTATACCTTCAATCTTATAAAGTCTTGTTAGTTTTATGACATTTTACAGCACATTTGCCCAAAGCTGAGAAAACATTAAAACCTATTTGACCAAACCTGTCAATCAGTATGAGAGTCAATTCTTTCAGTCTCCAGGAGCAGGGGAGAAACTTGTATTGAACGGCTCCCCTGCTGTTACTCTGTTATGAAACAGCCTGAGTGGTCCAACAGTGTTATTAGGCAAACTTCTGTGAATGACATGAGGCTTTGTCCAACACTGGCTGTGAGGCTGCCTCTCTGATTCACTCAATGCATCTCCAAGAGAGAAGCTGCCCTTAGCAGTCACCCTTGGGCAGGCCTCTGGCTGTTATTGTAGAGTGTGGAGAGTAAGGGCCAACCAGATAATACCAATCACACTTCGAACAAACAAACCTGGCCACAGGCCACAACTGCACACATAGAATGAATTCTTTTTTTTTTTAACACAGAGATCCTCAATTTATTTGTATTTTCCTTTTTCTTAAATTGCTATGAATTCTTTTTTTTTTGCAAATACAGGTCAAACCCAAGATATTTTGAGCTCCACAATCTGTTATACTTATAATTATAACCTTTAATATGAAGAGAACCTTTAATTGACTCAAACTTTTATTAAAGGACAGACATTTATATTAAAGTTACTTCTTCATTAGCAGATATTTCCAGTTTCAAATCGCTGTGTTCACTTGCGGTAGCTGCTCTTATCTTTTCATGTAAATGATAAGGCATTATACTTCTATTTCATTAAAACACTTATAATTAGAAGAAATCATTCAAAGACAACTGGACAGACTGGTCAAGGAAAAGAAAGACTAAAATAGGTGGCAATCAAATTCATATTTCCTGGTCAATTAAAAGTGTTTTTCATGTTTTACATTACATTTTAAGTAATAATGAAAATCTGCCAGCAGCACTTCCATGGCCAGACATCCTAAGTGGTAAATTTAATCACCACTCATTTCACTTATTAGAGGAATAGTACCAATACACAAAGTGCAAAAGCAATATATGTAACCACATTACTAAATCTAGAAAAGTGGCAAAAAAAAAAAAAATGTACTGGTAGAAACGATGACCATGTAGCTCCGGCTGCAGGCCCAGACTGAAGGAGGGACAATTTAAAATACATTGAAACTGTTTTTCATGATTGACTTTGTGTCAGCTACTGGTCAGCTTTATTAAAACACTTCTAAAACATTATTATAAGCCCGGGATGTACCATGTTTTCAGTGCTAATTATTAATGTTAGCATGCTAACATGCTAAACGGAGCTGGTGGACATTTCCAACAGTATGCCACAGCTCTTTTGTGTCAAACTTTAACATCACAGAGCAGCTGGCTCCTTCTTTTGGTCGACAGGCTGTATCATGTTTATTGTTTGCATGCGTCGTTGTTTTCCCCCTTATCTTGGTTACCTTGAACCGAACAGCCGGCTACATTTTATGCATTTTTTAAACTCACACCCTGTAAACATTATAAAGTTCTCCATAACACCAGCTCCTTCCTCAGAAAACCACAACAAAGAGAGCAGTTTGTTGAGGCGTCTCTAAAGATTTGCAGTGGGAGCTGAGGCTCACCTTTACTTTCATCACTGCATCATAGAAAGTGTATATATCCTGACAGGCTTGCATCACAGGGTATGTGTTGGCAGTTTTGACTGTGCAGGAAGCTGCAGCAAAACACAGCATAGCTAGCATCAAAAAGATACTGGCACCGACCTCCTCCGGCTCTGTGATATCTTCATTAGCCGCTGCATAAGGAAAGCCCAGAGCATCATCAAGGACAGCAGTCATCCAGCCCACACACTATTCTCACTCCTGCCATCTGGAAAAAGCTAGGGGAGCATTAAATCACGCACCAGCCGTCTCCTAGACGGTTTCTTCCCACAGGTAGTCGGTATAATGAATAGCACCCACACACCCACACACACACAGATATACACACAAACAGACACTAAAACTCTTTGTTTAGTGTGTTATTTAGGAGGTGTCAAATTAATCATACTTTCCTTTGTGTGTTTTTTTTTAGTTCAAGGTTGAGTGCTACAGTGCAACTATTATTTTCATTAGAGTAATTCAACTGCACATCATGTTTGTTTGTTTGTTTTTACCTCTAAGTGTTTTTGTTTAACCTCCTTAAAAATATGCAGCTATATAATACAGCATAAAATACAGGCAGGTTTTTTTTTTTATTGTTCTGCTGTCTTATGCTAAGAATATCCGCCTCTTGTCAACTCCATTTCTTTACCTAAAGCCATTAACTTCTGTACTTTAGCTGCGTCTACAGAAATGGGACAAGGCCATGGCCATATAACTTTGTAGCTTGTAGGGATTATAACTATATTTATCCTGCCTACACAATTTAGATTACATTTTCCACCACAGTCACAGCCAGGAGTAGTCTCAAAATGCTGCATATACTTCAAATTGACTGTGAGTGACAAATGGCTTACACTTCTAGTCAATTAAAATGTACAGTGTAGATCATGTACAGGGTATATTTTCTAAGAGGTGCAGGGTGTAATGTGGCAAAGTGAATCGCACCTTCAGAGATCCAGCAGATGAATGGAGCTGTGTGTGGATTGTACAGCTCAGGAGTATTCACTTTGAACACATCCCCCTGTATGTAAATAGAGGGTGGAGGAGAGATCTCACAATGATCATATTTGCCAGTCAGAGGACAAAAGTGTCAGGATGCGAGTCTGCTCCCAAGACGCTCTCTGTCATTTTCAATCTTCCTCACTGCAGCTGTGACAGGGTGGTTATCCGGGCCGAGAGCAGCGGCAGCAGCAGCAAAGACGCAGCAGGTCAGTC